GAAACGCCTCTTTGACTTCGCACAACTTGCGATCGGCGCCGACGAAGTTGGGTGCGTTGTCGCTGTGTATTGTCTGTGGCATCCCTCGGCGACCAATGAACCTTTTTAGGGCGAGAATAAAGGAATTAGTTGATAAGTCAGAAACTAATTCTAAGTGTACTGCTTTAGACGTGAAACAAACGAAAACTGCGATATAGGTTTTTACGGGTGGTCGAGCGCGTATTTTTAATGTAGTATAAATTGGACCCAAAAATCTACGCCACATATGAGAAAGGATCGTAGCGCTCGAAGTCTTTCAACTGGCAAGTTTCCCATTATTTGGGTCTGCAGCTTCGGCTTGCATTAATCAGCCATATGCGTTCTCGAAGAAGCGCAACCAACGCCTTTGCCCCTGCGTGGTGATTTCGAAAGTGCAGGAACCACAAATAATTGATAACGAAGTGTGAATTCTTATTTAATAATAATGGGAATTTGGCATCGTATGGGAGACGTGCGTTTAAAAGGCGACCTCCTACTCGGATTAATTTGAATGAAAGCGACATATCCGAGTACTCATGCAAAAACGGATTGAGTTTTTGCAAGTTTGCGGGTAGCGTGGTGCCTTTCGTTAGTTTTTGGATTTCATTCGCAAATTCCGTATGTTGAATCACCTGAACAATTTTCAAAAAAACTCAAGTGTAATTCGTCAGATGTCAGGTCCCTTCCCTCCGTAGGCATTCCACCGTAATAGATAGGCAACCACACGAAGCAATTTTTGATGAGAAGAGAATTTTTCGATAAAGTTCAATAGTGTATTCTCTTTCACATTTATGGTTAGTGTAAAAGTATTTTTCTTCTTCTCTAATGCTTCATCGTCTGGGGAGAGCTGAATGTGAGTGTTAATTGGCCATAAAGCGGGGTCTTCTAGGAGGAACTGTGGACCGCCAAACCATATTGAATTATTCAATTCATCCACGTTGTAACCCCGAGACACTTGATCCGCAGGATTTTGTTTTGTTGGCACATGTCGCCAATTTATATTGTCAGTCAATTCTTGGATTTCAGACACTCTATTTGCATCAAAGGTTTGCAATGAAGATGGATGCGTTTTTACCCAATGCAATACGATTTCAGAGTCTGTCCAAAATATAATTTTTTCAAATTGTCGATTCAACATTGAGGCAATT